CGGTGGCGCGCCGCGCTGGGTTCTGGCCACTCGAAAACAGGCGAGGCTGTGACTTAAACGTTAGAGAAATCATAAAAAATAAACGGGCGCGGGGCCGTGCTGTTCCCTCTGGCCGAGGCCGTCGCGTACGCGGCGCTTCTGCCTGCGGCAGGTGCATTGCGGGGCCCGGTCTCCTCAGAGGCGGTGTCGGGGGACACTCAGGCAGACGGTGTCCTTGAAATTATCTGGAACATCGAAGCGGGAAAAAAAAAAAAAAGATCTATCTGTGATTTATTTAGAGGCAGAAATCTAAAAATGTCGCAGGAGCGTCTGGAGCGCGGGGCTGGGCTGAGGCGGCCTGGAGCTGCCGGCTCCTGCTCCCGGCGCCGTCCACTCGCGGGTAGTGACCAGGTCGCTGCCTGGCAGGAGGGAAATTTTTAAGACGTGAGTTTTGGCACAGGTTGTGTGACGTTTTCTTTTGTCTGTGTTGCTGCCCTGGTTGTAACTTGGGTTTCATTCTTGTGAGTAACGCCAGCAAAGTCCGTGAGACTGTGTTCTCTCCTCAGACCGCGGAGCACAGGGAAGGAGCTGGGCCTGTGTAACAAAGCCTGCTCCATAGACGTACTCAATATGCAATGTTCCTACCTTTCAGTAAGCTATTATGTCTGTTGCCTTGGGTTTAATAGAAATCAAACATGATTTATTTACAACTTGGTTGATAATGTTTTGTCAATGTTCCTTAATCATGGCAAGGGAAAAAGAAAAAAAAAAAAAAAAAGTTAAACTAAGGTACCTATGTAAAAGAAATATGCAAAGGATATACTGGAGCAGAGTCTTGAGCACTTCCAGGTAAAATACGTTTATAAAATGTATTAATACAAGAAGCAGGTTTCTGCTTCATAGAGGTTCTTGTGAGGAAGAAATGGTTAAGGGAAAAAGGAAGCAAGCCTGTATCTGAATTTCACAGAGATAAAACTTCCAAAAATGTCTCTACAGAGCTATCTTGCTAGAGCTTCCTAGATTTAACCTTTATAATTATTCGATCATTCCAGTTTATGTTCATTATGCTATATAACGATCCATTCTACTTTCAAAAATTTTTATTTCTTGGATTAATCCATGTAATCGCTTTGTATTTTCTTAAGAGTTTCTTTTCACCACTAAAACTTCGTATGGAACATATGGTATTATGAAGATGGCTATTACATTGCACAGTAAGATCTCATTTTGCAAACAGATGAGATGAACAGAGGACTTGTGCAGACTTCGATGCCTTCTGGGCTATTCCACCCGCATCAGCGGGATTACTATCTAAGTACAACTTTTACCTAGATGTCTGCAACATTACTTATGTTCTGTGACTTAAGTTTTCATGGGCTTGCAGCCAACGAAATCATAGGTCCCATGGATCATATGTGAAAGGGAGAGGGTGACGTTGTAATCCCAATTAAATTCAACTATAAGAATTTATAGTCATTTCAGTGAGGACAGTGGTTTACTACAAATGAAGAGAAGGGCTGCTGCAGCACCATAACTGGTGCAGAACCCTCATCTTAAACTGGAGAAGCTGCAGTTCTATACTCTACATGCACTTCTGTATTGCAGCACTTTTCTTGATGAGATTAAATGGTCAGCAGAAGTAACACAAGCGTTCATAACCCTAGGAAGCCATTTCAAGGTAGTAACACAGATTAATTTGAGGTTATGATGTTACGTTCCCAGGGGCTTTTACACAATGACATTTGTTATTTCACCACAAGAAGTCACGAAAGTAAAACTGGCCATTAAGTTGGTTATATCAAGAGCTTTCAGCTGATGCAATGGAACAGCGTTTCATTAGTCATTGATGAGCTTACATACCAGATGTAAATCTACAGATAAATAATCATGAAACATAAGCCACCTAAACTTAATCTCTGTAAATCAAACAACAAATCTCTACTGAGTGAAATGTATTTTATTCCCAAGAGTTGAATGTGGTTCGCTTATTTGTGCAAAATTAGGTTGACTTATTTAAAACCTAGTCGCTTTTCATCTCCCAAGTAATGTGGGAGAACTTGCCCGACTGCACAGAAAACAGTGAAAAAATCCCACTGAAACAACTCGAACAATTGTCTTCTTGTATTAGCACACCAGCATTTTAGTGTGGAATGCAGCGTAATTTGTCCAGATTGGTGCTGACCACTGAATATATATTATGACATTTGCTTAAGATAGTTGCTGTATTTTTAAAAAATAATGACTCATTATGGCAAGGCTGTTCATTATGAAATCCTTCTTTTGTTCCCAAGATACATACCAACAGAAAGGTCACACTTGAAAGGGCTGTTATGCATACTTAAACAACAATAACAAGAAGTTCTAAGATCTAAATTGGGCAGTGATTAAATAGACATCAGATCTACATAAATCTATACAATATACATAATACAGAAAGTCATGCTGGGTGACCTGAGTGGCCACTCGGGTGAAAAGAACTCCAGTCTCCCATAAAATTTAACTCTGTGTTATCACTAAAAACATACCAAAGCGCTTGGAACCAGTTATGTTAGATCCTCTGTCCACAGCTATGCTAGGGTATCTCGTTACATCATCACCATCATCTTGATCGAGTGTTGTGTAAGAGAATTCAACAGTGTTACAGTCCTTAAGGAGGCCATAAAAAAAAATTTAAAACCCTGTTCAATTTAAACACAATGGTAATTGCAGTAGCTGGTTTTGAATATTCAGTCCTAAGGGTCCAGTTCTCAAATCTGGCAGTTTGTAAACAATTGTTGCTGCTTCTTTATTGCAACATGGAGTAAATAAATGCATAGTTGGGAAACAAAAATTATACTTGTACCTAGCGGGTGCTGACTGCAATTTTTCTAATAAGTTTTTGGGTTTATTGCTACATCTGCTGGATAGGCGAGATGTCCTCCACAGGGTACCAGCCAAATGAAGATGAAAATCTAGGTCGACACAAAAATAAAAAAAATGGGAGTCTAAACCAAAATATCTCAGTGGTATGGAAAGGCACTTGGTAATGACTGTGTTCAGAATTAAAAATCACAGGATTACGGGCAAATCTAACAGCATATGTGTGGCTACTCATGCGTTCTACTTACATAGGCTCTATTTACATCCAGTGGGTATAAAGTCCTACAAAACATGTAAGGATGTGATTAAGCACGTCTCTCTGAAATCGAGGCAGCTTCTTAAAAGCTGAACATATGTATAAGCTTAATCGCACTGGCATGAAGTATGAAATAAGGGTTGCTCAGTAACACCCCTCTCCACCCCCGAGGTAGAAGCAGGCTGAGACTGAGCTCCACGGCAGCACTGCCGGAGCGTGGGCCGCAGCAGCACTAGCGGGTTTGGAGGCTGCCACAGCCAGCCAGTGGAAGAGTCAAGCAGGAATGAAGCAGACTCCAAAATGACAGTCTTACTGAACTGGGGCTAAAATTTTCAGTGTTATTATTGAAGAAGACAAGTACAGAAAGCAAAGTGTACCTTGGCCAATAAACATTTGTATCTGATGATACAACATGTAGCATCCTGCACAGGCAGCTAAGGGCAGACACAACAGGGAACACACTGCAACCAGAGTGGGAAGGTGAGCTGGGAACTAGTCCATGAATCTGAGAATCACGATTCTGATAGCAACGTGCAATTACTACCTGGCAGCAGACAGAGCGAGCCCAGCACTCCCACTGAGAGCAGCTGCAAAGAGGGAGTACAGCCAACCAGGCCAGATCCTGCCTTGCAACTCTCTGTAATACGGCCAGGAAGGGATTAGCCTTTACTCTTGCTGTAACACTTACAGTTATTACATCTAAAACTTAGTGATAAATATGCAGTTACTATAACGCAGATGCAGTTTGCAATGTACCTTTCCACAGGTTTAGAAGCATTTAAAGTGGTGATAATCCTTTCTGTCAGTATCTTAATTAACACTTAACTCTTGACTACCTGTAATGGGGTATTTTACCTCGTTCTTTAATCTGGTTCTAAAACATATTTTTAGCACGTTGAAAATAATAAAGTAACAGCTAAACTTTTATTTTTAAAGTCAGTATTAACATCTATATATGGGAGTTTAGTTCAAATAACTGCCGTGTTTTCGAGAAAGCAAGGGGTACTGTCCAGAGTGATGTCACTTTACTCTTAATCCATACATATACACAGTTCCTGAAAAAAAAAAAAAAAAAAAAAAGTAAATGTGAAAATACAATCTTGAAATACAGACATAATGTTTTACAGCTGACAACTTCTGAGTAATTACAAAAATCACAGTGTTTATTTACAGACTACAATTCAAATACCTTCATTATATTATTCTGCCAGGTGCATTTCAGCTGCCTTGCCTTTTTTTCTGTTTTGTTTGGTTGGGTTTTTTCCCCCCAGTTTATTTCTAAGCCTATTTAAAATGAAAATGAAATCTATATCGTGGTTTCAGATCCAGTCCATTAGAGAAGGACTTTTAAGAATGCATTCTAAGTTTGATAAATGATAATTAAAAAAAAAAAAATCTAAAATGCATGCAGACATAGCACCCACATCCTCCCAGATTTAATTTGCATGATGTTCTGTTTTAATGCATAAGCTGCCAGCAACTTAAAAGCAGGGTTTATATATACACAGCTTAATCACTGTTGTAATCTTACATAAGATTACAACAGCCATGAAATGTTCTTCTGCAAACAGTGTTACTGGTACTAAGGTGCCAGTTTGTCTTGTACCAACAGCAACAAAAGGTGTATAAAAACATCTAAAAAGTTGTGAAAAGTGTGGCTCTGACAATTAATGACAATTACAGAAATTTAAGGATTGGAACCAAGATTGGAGAATACTGTGAAGCTGCTTAGTGCTTCTCGAACAACCTGCAGCGCAATAATGTTGTTTGAAAAAAAGAAAATTTATTCACCCTCTTTCTTCAACTGCTTGTTCACTTTTCCTGAGGAGGTAGAAATGACACCAGAACCAGATCTAACAGGGAGTAAATGGAATATAGCAACTATTAGAAATTTCTGCTACAGTTGTATGACAACACAGCTCCTCCATCTTTCCCTGCAGAAAATTCTCATCTTCCCAGTTAAGAATTATGAGAACTCAGAAAAGGGGTAGAATCCCTTAGGGATTAATTATATAAATCTTCATTATGTGCCTAGAGCACAGATGCTAAGGCACAGTATGTGTGAGTAAGAACTAAAGTATGCCAAAACAACAATTTATTAAGAGGTAGACTGATGCTTTTTTGGTCTAAAAACATACTGCTAGCCCTCACTATACAAACTAATAGTCCTTCACTAGACTAGTTGGACTAGTCCTACTACAGTTAGTCCTTCACAACGAAAAGATAAAACAAGGGAACTAGATGGATAGGACAAGATTTACTGCAGTATTCCCATTTCCTTCTTGAAAAATCCAAACAGGCCTCCCCAACAGGCATAGCTGGGATGGGAAAGGTAACATCAGTTACAACAGACAAAGTCAAGAAGACTTTTTTTTTTTTTTTTGAGCAATATTAAGCCTACACACAGTTCTTTTTTCCCCTCCTTTAGAGGAGAGTAGTTGTTCTTTCCCACAGCAAGGGTGGCAGGAAATGGCAGAGAAAGGAAACACGCTGAAATAGCTGTCACTGTCCCCATGGGAAGGAATACCTTGAAATAGCTGTCACAGTCCCCTATTCCCATGGGAAAGAACCACCTTGCAAGATTGGCTATCCAAAATCTCTCGATCTGCAGATAAGGATCCCGATTACTGTGCAATATTATTAAGTTCAATTCCACATCTTAGTGTTTACTTTGAAAAGTCCTCTGTGTTAGACATCACAGCACCGTAAGGAAACAGTCTGAACGCTGTGCTTTAGTAAATGTTGCCTACAGGTTTTATGAAGGAAAAAACTTTGCTTAAAAACTAAGTTCAATTTATATTCGTATTTTAATATTAATTTAAGTGGATAAATTAGAAACATCTCGTATGCATCAGTGAAGGAAAAATGCTCACCCAATACTCAGCATCATGCTTCCCATGCAGCACATTAAGTTCTACTGTGTAAACTCTCAGGAAAAAAGAAAAAAATCACTTGCTTTGACAAATGCAGAGCAAAATAACTTTCAAAGGGACATAACTGTCCTTCAGATGAAAGTTAGTTTTATCCTTTTTAATAATACACTTAACTATACAAGTTAAATCCCACCCTAGAACACTGAGTATGCCACACTGTCTTGCATGTATGTGATGGACGTGTCATTTATTAGGCTTTTTCATTATTTTTGGGGTGGTGTTACTTGCTCTACATATGTATTTTTCCTCTGCTACAACAATGCCTGTGTGTGGCACTGCCTTACGCACCATTACACTGTACCCTCAGCTTTAAAATGGAGTACTTGCTGTTATGGAAGAAGTAACCCTACAACATTTCTTCTGCATTTCTAAGACCTGAAAGAAAATTTTTCTGTCAGCTCCAGACAAGCTGCTACAGGAAGAAAAGTTGCCACGGTCAACACTGCAGCTCTATATTTTAAATGGATCTGATGATTCCAGAATCTTAGGACATCAAAGGCATATAACTACTATGTGGTAGGACTTCAGAATCTGAAGAGCAGCTCTGAAGGGACTACAATACAATTAAAAACTTGAGACAGACCAGATTCCATTATTACTGAGGTCATTGTACTTGGTCCCCACTCTATACACAGAGTGTTGTTTTATATACGCTGGTGGTCAAAAAGACCCCAGATTTGGCAAAGAGATAGCAATCAGGGTCTGCATTTCTATTCCCAGGGTGCTGCTTGGCAAACCTGTATTCTTGAAGTACCAAAATAAAAACCGGTCATATTCCTGAGAAAAGCCAAATATCCACCAACATCAACTAGACAGGACTGATAGTAGTTTGGTATCTTGCGAGATAGAAGTCACTTAGCAAGAACGCTCAATGTCAGCTTTTATACTCTTTAGTATTTATGTTTAACTATTTCAAGGGGAAATAAAAAAAAAGTAAATCAACAGCACACATACCAAGGTTTAGACTCAAAATCTCCATATTGTCCTTCATAAGTGAGGTGAAGATGAAATAATACCTATTTTCTTTTAAAAATAACAAAATAAAAATTAAGTGTAATAAAAGCACATCAAGAAACAAACTGTACAATTTCTGAACTGCACTGTTTATTTTGCTGCTTGAAACCTAAGTGACAGTATGCCACTATAATTATGGGGTTTCTTCTAAACCTTTACTACACTGCAGATACAGAAATATACGGACACATTTTTGGAGAATTGACATTTTGCAAAATGCAGCAAACATTTCAATTTATACATGAGAAAAGGAAGTGTTCAAAAGGGTATGCATTTCAAGTTATTGCAGGTTATTTCTGTGAGAGAATTTCTGCAGGTAAAACATGTTTAAATTTAACCAACAGTAACGTGTCAGTGTATTTAAAATCATGACAAAAATCTTCTCTCTGGTCATTAATTGCCCTTTGACAAATTACTAGGATGTTGTATGTTTAGGGCAAGATGTCAATACAGCATAAATCCCGTGGCATTTTGGTTTTCTTCTGGAGATTAAAGCTGTTTTTTTCTTGGGATAAATGCAGCAGCAAAACACAAACCAGCTGATCAAAAAAGCACTTCTGCCATAACTCCAAAATTTCAGGGCACACCAACCGACAGTAGTTTTGCCATTCCCAGTTCTTTTAAGGTTTACATCACTGCACTGTTGCCTTAAGTACGTTTGTAAAAGCTTGTTTTCTGTTAGGCCAGCTTGCTGACTACAGCCTGGTTGAGAGAATTTAGTTGGTTGGTCCATTTATCTAACGCAGTATACCGTGCACCACCTCTCTTCTGATGATCCAGTTCTAGGAGCTGGTTGACTTGATCAATTCGGCCATGTATAGTGCTAGAATCAAATAAATAAATAAATAAACAAACATCACTAATGCACATGGACATAGGAGCTAACAATAAATCAGAGGTAAAATAAGAGGTCTTATACAAGAGAGACACAAAGTTCCTTTCAGAATTCAGCCCTTTTATAATCTATTGGCCTGGGCAGTACTGCCTATTTAGTTCATCATGACTGGAAACCAAATCAACCAATTCATTGGGCAACGATTATTTTATCTGCTTAGCTATTACCTACATATTAACTCTAAAGCAATATGAGGTAAACAGTTTTTGAAAGTCAAGGAATCATGAAAAAATAAGAGATTTATGCAAAAAGAAATTAAAATACAAACCCATGTATGGATTATATTTTCCTAGTATATATAACAAGTCACCCTCCAAAAAAAAAAAAAAAGATTTTACAAATTGTAGCAAGTTTTTCCAGTCAAGGAGAGCAGACTACTAATGTGTCAACTTGAAAATATACTCAAAAATATAGAGGGGTATAAGCAGCAGTTACTAAGAATAACAATTTTCATAATTCCATAATAATTCTAGTAATTTATGACATAATTCAAAATTAAAGTAAGAACATGCCACTCAATCCCTCCGTATAATTTTTTGGGCTCACGTCTTACAGTTGTACTTTACTGCTCATAAGCCAAGCAAATCCAAACAAAGTCAACATCACCTTTCAGTTCTATAATCAACCAGTATTGTCACAAAGAACAAAAAAATTTTGTTGCTTCTTGTATACTTTGTTTTAAAGTAATCAAAGATCAGTAATCAAGAATAAAGTACATACTTATCCAATATGCACTGCACAAGCAAGCTTTCCACATCAGCTACATCTATGTTTAACTCCTAAAAGAAAAAGAAAGCTCATTATGCTGCTACTCTGTTTTGCAACATTAAATCCTTCCAATCTTTATTTTCATATACGGAATTTGGTTTCATTTCTGTTTTTTTACTGTTTGAAAGTATCAATTCAGTCCTGATCTAACCAGCAGAAGAATGTATGGCCAATGATCAAGAGATCAGTAAGCTCTCAGAAAAGGCTGAAAAGGCTAAAGCAAAATTTTTGGAACTCAGAAATGAGTTCCTTTGCTGACTTGTTGAAGAACACGACCCCCCCCCCCCA